TAAACTACACAGTTTGCAGTAATTTGTTATCATAGCCCTAGAAAACAGATAGAGATTGCTTCAAGAATTTGTTTAAAAATGTACATGTTTGGGCACAATGGCTCACGCCTGTAATCCCAGCACTTTCAGAGGCCAAGGCAGGAGGATCACTTGAGCCCAGGAGCTCTTGACCAGCCTGGGCAACACAGTGAGACCTCATTTCTACTAAAAGTAATTTTTAAAATACTAGCCAGCCATGGTGGCATGCATCTGTAGCCCCAGAGACTCAGGCAGTTGAGGCGGGCAGATTGCTTGAGCCTGGGAGATCAAGGCTGCAGCGAACCATGATTGCACCACTGCACTCCATCCTGGGCAACAGAGGAAGGCCCTGCCTCAAAATAAAAAAAGAGTAATGATAATAAAATAAAAATGTATACAAACACAACTGCCTGGGTGGATCAGAGGATGGGTGATTCCCTGAAGCTGAGCCATGGAGGGTCCCTGGTCCCTCCAGCTCTTGCAGGGCTGCACGAGGTGCTGCGATGACCTGGAAGGCTGGCTTTGCATCGGTGGATATGGCTCCACTTCTGGTCCTCAGTTTTCCAGCTGAGCCTCACTGGCTATCCATCCAAATCTCCCTTTCTCGGTGATGTGCATAGTAAAGGCACCCACCTCAACTGCAGGCTTCCCACCTCTGGCAGGTGTGGTCTTGGGAGAGGGAGAAGCTTAGTGTTGAAGCAAGTTCCAAGCCTATGTCATTCTGGGTCCAAACATTTTAAGTTGCTGAATCCATACTGTGTTAGATGACTTCCAGGGACCACATGAGTTTTTAATGACCTGAGGGTGAACAGAGAGCCAGGGATCTGTTTCATCTAGGGAGGGGGCAGTGGGAGGGTGAATGTATCCTACAGGGTGGGCTTACACTCAGAGTTTCACCCTTAATGGAACACTGGGATCAGCTGAGAAATGCTAGGACCGTGCTGGTGCCTGGCCCCCGCCCCTGGAACCTACGGGAGTATCGGAGGTACAACCTGGACAGCAGGACCCTTGAAAGCTCCCAGGTGATTCTGATGGCAACAACATTTAAGAACCACTGGGTTGAAACCACCTCACTATCGGGATGGGACAGTGCAAGACAAAAATAAGGTTGAGCTCCTTCACCCAAGGCATGCTTTCACAGGAGAGTTTACAGTAAGAACAAGTGAAGGAACCCTCCTGTCTCTGTCGTCCATCCCATTCCCCTGTAATGAGTGTCAGCCCAGCACACAGAAGGTTCCTGAAATGTTCACTCCCTTCCCCCAGTATGATGGCCTCAGTGTCACTGCACTTCTTGGATGATGTGGGCTTCCCCTGGAGCAAGTGAGCGTCCCAACAGGCCCAAGTGGAAGCTAAGGCTTTTGAGGACCTAGCCACAGAATGCCACCAATACTACATTCTCTTTACCAAGAAAGCCACTAGACTTTCTCTTCACCAAGACCAGTCCCAGATTTAAGGGTTGGCAGCAAGCGTGTCCAGGAGGGAGTGAGGGAATGCATGGAAGCTGTCTTTAAACCTGGGTGACTCCACCAACGACACAGGGATTTTGGACTCAGTCCTGAAAGGCTGTGATTCTCACCTTGTCCCCAGCCCACTGGGTGTCTAGGTGGTCCTGTCCTCTTGACCACCCCTGGCCATAGAGAAATGAATGCCCTTATTCACTGCTCACATCCTCCAGAGTCTCCCAGGACTCAGGGACTGTGTGGAGTGAGCTGGGGTGTTTCCAGGGTTGGAGAGAGGGCAGCCGGGAGCCTCCAGGGCTCAGAGGTAAGGTGGGGCCCACAAGCACACCCTCAGTGCCTGCAGCCTCTCTTACAGCCTTACACAGCCACGTGTACCTCACCAAGGAGGGCACCTCTGCGTAGGGATTTGCCAGATAACTGGTGTCTACTCTGTACATCCAAGGAGGATATCTATTTAACGCTTAGCTTCTGAGTGGAAAATCTTTCCAATAAGGCTTATGCATTCTGGGTCTTCTTAAGCCAAAAACAGGAATCACACCTAACAACATGGGGAAGAAAAATCGTGGGCTTGGAGTCACGTGGATCTGGTTTCACTGACTTAGTTAATCACAAAAGTGTGCACTCCCAGTCCCAGGCATCCCTCCAGCTTCCATCCCCTGCATGGATTGGGGTTTTCCCAAGGGACTGCTTCAACTATATCCCATTCCCTTGCTCAATAACTTGCAATGGCTCCCACTGCCTACTGATTCTCACCCCAGCAAACTTCTCACCCCAGCAATCAACACCTTCTATAATGTGGCCCTGGCCTCTCTCTCACAGCCCTGCTGCATCCCTGTCCTCTAGCTTTCTGGAGGACTCTGTGAGTATTTCCTGGGCTTTCCTACCTCAATACCTCTCCACCTAGAACAGTCCCAGGCCCACCAGGAGTTATCTGCCTCTAGTTCTAATCCATCTACAGCCCCCATTCTCCAAGTCCTGATGATGACAGCTGTTCCATGTCACTGGCATCTGACACTTCCAACTCACTGTCCTTTCCTGTTCATTTCCTTTCGCGAACATGCATCTTGCCCTCATCCAATCCTTTAACAAATACTTGAGAAGCTCCTATGTGCTGGGCCCAGCACTTGAGCCATTTCCCTTTTTGGGTTCTTGGCCAGGCGCATCATTTCTCCAAGATTTTATAAACACACAGAAAGAAAATCTACATCCCATTCGAGTTTGCCTCACAGCATCCCTGTCCCAGTGCCTGTCATGGAGCTTGTCACAAGGCAGGTACTAGACATTTGCTGAGCAAGTAAATGGATGGGTGCACCAACATTTCTCTGCAAACTGCCCACTGCTTAGGGATAGACTGCACAGGGAGACAGTGACTGTCACACACACCTGGTGGCCGCAGGACACACCTGGAGCAGGGGCTGCACTCGCTCCAGCCAAGCACCACCAAGCGCTGCAGGCAGAGAAGTAACAGTTCCCATCCTTACGGGGTTAAATGGGAGGAATCAACAGCAGAAAGCAATCTACTAGAAAGACATAGTGGTAAGATCACTTCCTGGAGGGAGGAGAAGAGATAAATCCTTCTGAAATAGATTTGTCCTGTACCTTACATCGTATCTTTCCCAGGATGAAGCAATACAGTGGAAAACCCAGCGGCTTTGCAGATACTCAGGCCCAGATTTAAAATTCAGTTCTCCTCCTTACAAATGGCATATCCTTGGGTGAATTATTTAATCTCATTTAGTGTACTGACCCACAAAACCAGGCCTCTGCCGAGGACTTGTAAGGATGTGCTGTGATAAAAGATGCAAAGCACCAAGTGTCTGGCATGTAGTAGGTGCCCAACAAACCTTAGCATCTGTTCTCATGTGTGTGATACTTCATGTTTCTGTTCCCTGCGGCCAGCATGGTACTGTGCATGTAACGAACGTCAAATATGTGTCAAGGAGAATACATTGACCAAGTGGAATGTGAATTGTAAGCAAAAAAAGAATAACAGGAACCCGGTCTCTGGGCAGGTTCTGCCTGTAGATATTAAAAAGCTTCATGTTTATTTTGTCTAGTTGCCATGGCAGCCACTGATGCTCCAGTCAGCTCCAGGGTTACTGAGGATCAATTTATCTTGTAACCATGGAAATTCCGGAGGTGCAGTGGGATCCAGAAGGGAAGGCAGCACAGCTCCTCTCCCCTCTAGAAATAAATCCTTGAAAGCCTCTTTAGTTTTCGTGTAGCTAAAACCATCATTATCTAAAGTGATGTTTACATGACAATATTTATAAGCATGGATTTAGGCACAGGAGATGTAAAATTAGGCAAAAAAAAAAAGCAGGGGGGGGAGGCAGCAATGATCAGAAGGGTAACTAGCAACATGGAAGACTTAAGAGTCTGTGGGGGAGCCAGGATCTAGACCCCCAGAGCTAACTTGGGGCTTCTGCATCTTTTATGCCTCCATTTGCAGACTCGCTGGCCACACACAGTCTGGATTTTGCTGTCACTTTTTAATCAGGCTTCCACCACAGATGAAGCCTGGGGAAAAAGAAAGTGTCCCCTCAAACTTCATTCCCTGTAAAAGAACACAGCAGCGGATGGGGTCCCTGCCACACACCCTGGAGGCAGAAAGGAGCCTCGGTGGTCCCCTGACCTTTAGCCAACCAACACAACCAGAGAAGGTGCAAGATGCGGCTTTGGTATATTGGGACTTAGTCTCCCAAGGCAAACGCAGCCCCTCCCTGGAGCCAGCTCTGGGTCTTCTCTAGGGCCACAAACTGATGGGGAAATCCGAGGTTTGCCTTTGTTCTGGCTCGAGAGTGAAGGCACAGAAACAGAATCATCACCCAGGCCCAGAACTCCAGGGGATTCTGCTGGAGCAAAATTCAAGCTGTGAGAGGACATTTGTTTTTCCGGCCATTGGGAACCTGTTTGTGTCGGGGGAGGGTTCTGGCCGCGCTAGGCACTGGCGGCTCATCAGACTCTACACAAAGCAAAACAGGACAAACGACCGCGGCGCCTCGACGCTTGGCTGATCATGGTCACAAAGCGGGTCTCAGCGCCTTCCTCAGGTGGCGTCAGAGGGGGCGCCCGAGGTCACCGGCAAGAGACAGATTACCCGCGCCTCGGGAAAACACTGGGGAAGAGAGAGACCGTCCTCCAGTCTGCGTTTGCACGGGTCTGAGCTGCCCCGGCCTTGGAGGGCTCCGAGACCCCAGAAGGGGGACAGCAGTGGGGGATGGGCAGAGAGGTGACTCGGGCTGCCCAGACTCCTCGCAGCCTCCCTGCCGGCGGGACGGGCCCCTGTGGGAACAGCTCGAGCCGCGGGAGTGCGGGGCGCCCCTCCCGCCCCACCCTGGAAAGCTGCGATCGCCTCCTCCGACGCGCTCACCGGGCGAGGGTGCCCCGCTCGGGACAAAGGACCCGGACGCGGATAGCGGGCGGGCGCCACAGTCCAGCCCCGGCGTTAAGGGCGACACCGTGGCTCCGAACCTCCCCAAACTTGGCGGCCTGGGGCGCGTGGGGAGGGAGCCCCGTTACCTGAGCGGCCATAAAGGAGAGATCCATGGTGTCGCTGCCGCCGCCGCTGCTGCCGCCCGCGCTCGAGTCCTAGCTGCTGCCGCTACCGCGGAGGGTCAGCCTCCTGCCCTGCTGGCGGGGATCCGGCGGAGCCTTGAGCGTCCTGAGCCCCCACGGCACCCTCGGCTGTCTCTGGGCTTCTGGCTCCGGACGAAGACCGGGCGGAGGACCCCGAGCGCGGGGACGGGCGAGGCGGGGCGGGGCTCGGGGGACAGGGCGCCCCTCCACGTGACCACTCCCGGCCCCACCCCCAGGGCGGGGCCCGTGAGAAATCCTCAGAGCTCACAACGGCCTCCCTGCGTGGGCGGATGGGGAAACTGAGGCCCGAGGTCTCCCGGCTGATTGGTGCAAGTACCAGCCTGCGACCCAAGTCCTGCGCTGTGGGCGCCTTTCCCCATGCAGCTGAGCCCAGCCGCCCGGGGTTGTGGGCAGTGCTGTCTTGAGGCTGGCATGTTACCACTGCCTGAGGACCAAGATCCGAGGGTTTCCACCCCAGCGCTCCTCCCAGAGTCCGGTGTGCTCCCGGTCGGCAACTGGGCACAACGAGGTTTCGTACTAGCTCTGCTTTGTTGTGCGTCTTGGGCAAGTTAGTGTCTTCGAGCCTAGATTTCCTCATCTGTGAAATGAGAGTACAGAACTGAATAATTAAACGAGATAGGGAATATAGCATGCCGTGTCCCCAGTAAACGAGAGCCCTAACATAGCTCATCATCCCATGGAGACGAGGCTGTGAGTGGCGTCTGCGAGGACTGCATGGCGGGTCCTCTCCTCAAACGAGTATCCGAAACCATGCAGATGCCACAGTGCAAGCGAGGGGAACCACAGAGATCCCACAGGGGCCCATTGCTCTGTGTGTGGGGGGTAGGCGGGTGATGTGTGGACACCCTAGACTTGGGAACACGTGGACGCTTTGTCCTCCAAGGGCTCACTGGGAGGGACCCAGTTGTGGTCTAAGGAGTCTCAGTGGGTATGACTGGTCCCTTTGGGTGTTGTCTCTCCCACGTACTTCTCACTCATGGTCGTCATGAGCCTCTGTGTTGGGGGCAGTCTGGGACTCCTAGAGTTTGTCACAGGCAAGGAAGCTGTGGCACAGGGAGGTAGAGGGGTTTGTTCAAGGTCCCCCGCAGCCGGGGGCCCAGTAGGGTCTGTGGCTGTGGGAATGGGACTAGAACCTCACTGACCCATAGAAGGCTCTCAGTAAGTCTTTATATCTTTCCTTTCTTTTCCTTCCCTTCCTTTCTCCCTCCTTTTCTTCCTCCTCTTCCTTCTCTCCTTCCTCCTCCCCTTTTTTTCCTTTCTTCTCTCTTTTCACCTTTCCCATCATGCTTGCCTCCTCCCTTCCTCCTCTGATCTCTAAACCTCTCAGTTCCCTGGCCTTCCCTACCGTCCCTGTTTTTAGCCAGTACTGTGCTCGCCACCTCCCAGCCTAGTTGAGCCATCTACCTCGTCCCATGCTTCCTGTGGCCAATGGCAGAGCAGCCTCCCCAGGACTGTGCGGGGCTCCACGTCTGCTGTAAGAAATATTATGTACTCTTACTGTAAAGTCTCACGCTTCACAATAAAAGGGTGTATATGTTGTGTGTGTGTGCAGTTTGAAAAATAATGTAGTTCTGCATGGGTTAAAAAATGGAAGAATAAAAAACAGTCTTCAAGTCCTGGGGTGTAGCTCTCCAAAGGCATCTCCTACCTGCCCCTTTCCAGCGTCACCTCCATCCCATTTAGTACTCACTCAGGTCAGTTCTCTTGCTTTTCTTTATAGTTTCACCTTTATAGTTTACGGGCTTTAACCCATTATGTAAAAAATTAAATTGCTCCTAGATTTGCTCTTCCATGTCTTCTTTGTTCTTTTTTTTTTTTTTTTTTGCTCAGCATTGTTTGTGTAGCCAATGTCTATTGTTTTTCAGTGCTACACAATGTCCCATTTGTATGACTTTATCACAGTTTTTATTGATGCACTGGCCCTTTGATGGATACATTGGTCATCTCCAGGTTTTCTGATAATGCAAAAAACAAAATGCTGCTATGAACATTCTCGATCTTGTCTTCAGACGCACAGGTGCAAGGGGTCCTCAGGGAATATGCTAAAAATGGAACAGTTGGGTCTGTACTTTTATTGATCGATGCCCACTGCTTTCCAATTGCTGATTTCCAAGGAGGTTTGGCCCAGTTCATTATCCTACCTGTAGTAGGCAGGGGTTCTCAGTGCTCCACAATCACCAACACTTTGTACTGTTAGGATTTTTTTAAGTTTTGCAAGTATGATGTGATGAAGATGAAGTAGTGTTTCCTTTGGATTCGATCCTCATTTCCCTGATTACTAATGATACTAAGCATCTTGTATACATCTATTGACCAGTTTCATTTCCTTTGATGAGAAATGCCTTTCACTAGATATTTTGAGCTTCTTTCAAAAATTTGCTTTCTTTAAATGATTCTGTAAATGTTTTAGACACTCATCTTGCTAGTTATACGTTTTTAAATATCATCTTTCATCTTTACATTTCTTTTTACTCTATTATATATTTTCATAAACAGAAGTAAATAATTTTAATTTGGTCAAAATTTATTAATATTTTCTTTTATAGTTAGCACTTGTTTAATAAATCCTTTCCCAACTTGAGACCATAAAGATGCTCTCCTGTAGTATTTTAGTAAACATTTAAATACTTTTTTTTCACAGTTTAGTTTTGTATAACTGATATTTTGCGTGTGAGGTGGGGGTAAGGAAGCAATTTTATTTTTCTCAAATTAACGTTCAGTTATCCCAGCCCATATTGACTAGATCAGCTCTTTCCCATTGATATGCAGCACCAAATTTGTCAGGCGTCTGTCTAGGCACAAGTCTGTTTCTAGGTTGTTCTGTTCCATTGTTCAACTGTCTAACACTAAGGCTATTCTGATCTAGAGACTCCAGTTTCATGCTAATTCATGTATGAGAGAGCAAGTTTCCTCACCGTGTTCTTTTTAAAGAGTTTCCTTAATACCTTTGGCGTTTTGCTCTCTGGATACATTTTAGGGTGACCTCGTCAGCTCCCCCAAATAACCTGGACTTGAACACAATTCTATTAACTCTTTTTGGGGATAATTGACATCTTACACATAACAAATATTTCTCTTCAAGAACATGGCACATCTCTTTATATACTTAACTTTTCTTTGATATTTCTATATAAAATCTCTCAAATCTTTTGCTGAAATCATTTCATGGTTCCTTTTTTAAAGATTTTATTTTATTTTTTTTTTTAATATTTATTTATTTATTTATTTATTTATTTTTTGAGACAGAGTTTCGCTCTTGTTACCCAGGCTGGAGTGCAATGGCACGATATCGGCTCACCGCAACCTCCACCTCCTGGGTTCAGGCAATTCTCCTGAGTAGCTGGGATTACAGGCACGCACCACCATGCCCAGCTAATTTTTTGTATTTTTAGTAGAGACGGGGTTTCACCATGTTGACCAGGATGGTCTTGATCTGTTGACCTCTTGATCCACCCGCCTCGGCCTCCCAAAGTGCTGGGATTACAGGCTTGAGCCACCGCGCCTGGCCAAAGATTTTATTTTGAGATGGTTATAGGTTAATATGCAGTTGTAGGAAATAATACAGAGATCTCATGTACCCTTTACCCAGTTTCTCCTAATGGTAACATCTTGCAAAATTAGAGTACAATATCAGCCCAAAGCCGTTGACATTGATATGAAGATACAGAACATTTCCATTACCACAAGCATCCCTCACTTTGCTCTTTTACAACGAGACCTACTTCTTCCCTGCCCCACCACTCGTTAACCAGGGGCAACCACTCATCTGCCCTCCCTTTCTATAATTTTGTGATTGTAAGAATGCTGTGAAAGAATCATACAGTAGGCAAGGCACAGTGGCTCACACCTGTAATCCCAGCACTTTGGGAGGCTGAGGTGGGTGTATCATCTAAGGTCGGGAGTTCAAAACCAGCCTGGCCAACGCGGTAAAACCCCCATCTCTACTAAAAATACAAAAAATTAGCCAGGTGTGGTGGCAGGTGCCTCTCAGCTACTTGGGAGGCTGAGGCAGGAGAATCTCTTGAAGCCAGGAGGTGGAGGTTGCAGTGAGCTGAGATTGAGCCATTGCACTCCAGCCTGGGCAACAAGAGCAAAACTCCGTCTAAAAAAAAGAAAAAGAATCATACAGTTTATACTCCTTTGAGATCAGCAATTTTCACACAGCATAGTTTCCTGGAGGTCCATTCGGACTGTCACCTGTATCGAGAATAGTTTAATAGTTTGTTCCTTTTTATTGCTGGGTGTTATTCTATGTTATGGATGTATCATTATCATAGTTTGTTTAACTATTCACCTGTCCAAGGACATCCTGGTTGTTTCTAGCTTTTGGCTTTTGTGAATAAAGCTGCTACACACATGATATATGGCTTTTTGTATAAACATGTTCAGCCTGGCACGGTGGCTCAAGCCTGTAATCTCAGCACTTTGGGAGGCCAAGGTGGGTGGATCACGAGGTTAAGAGCTCGAGACCATCTTGGTCAACATGGTGAGACCCCATCTCTACTGAAAATACAAAAAATTAGCTGGGCATGGTGGCACGTGCCTGTAATCCCAGCTACTCAGGAGGCTGAGGCAGGAGAATTGCCTGAACCCAGGAGGTGGAGGTTGCGGTGAGCCGAGATCACGCCATTGCACTACAGCCTGGGTCACAAGAGCGAAACGCTGTCTCAAAAAAAAAACGAAAAACCATGTCTTCACTTTTCTGGGATAAAGGCCCAGGATCATATGGTAGTTACAGTTTTCATTTCAAAGAAACTGCCAAACTGTTTTTCACAGTGACTGTAACATTTTACATTTCTACCAGCAACGTAGGAGTGGTTTTTCCATATTCTTGCCAGTATTTGGTGTTGTGATAGTTAATTTTATGAATCAGTTTCTCTCGGGTGCCCAGATAAAGCATTATTTGTGGGTGTGTCCCTGAAGGTGCTTCTGGATGAGGTAAGCATTTGAATCAGTGGACTCAGCACAGTAAATTGGCCTCCCCAAGATAGGTGGGTGTCTGTATTTGTCTGTTCTCATGCTGCTAATAAAGACATACCTGAGACTGGGTAATTTATAAAGGAAAGAGGTTTAATGGACTCACAGTTTCACATGACTGCGGAGGCTTCACAATCATGGAAGAAGGCAAAAGAGAGGCAAAGTTTCATCTTACAAGGTGGCAGGCAGGAAAGCGTGTGCAGGGGAACTCCCATTTACAAAATCATCAGATCTCATGAGACTCACTCACTACCATGAGAACAACATGGGGGAACCACCCCCACGATTCAATT